TTTCATCTCCCAAGTAACGTGGGAGAACTTGCCTGACTGGGCAGAAAACAGTGAAAAAATCCCACTGGAACAAGTAGAACAATTGTCTTCTTGTATTAGCACACCAGTGTTTTAGTGTGGAATGCAGCTTAATTTGTCCAAATTGGTGCTGACCATGGAATATATATTATGACATTTGCTTAAGATAGTTGCTGTATTTTTAAAAAATAATGACTCATTATGGCAACACTGTTCATTATTAAATCCTTCTTTTGTTCCCAAGATACATACCAACAGAAAGGTCACACTTGAAAGGGCTGCTATGCATACTTAAACAACAATAACAAGAAGTTCTAAGATCTAGATTGGGCAGTGATTAAATAGACATCAGATCTACATAAATCTATACAATATACATAATACAGAAAGTCATGCTGGGTGACCTGAGTGACCACTCGGATGAAAAGAGCTCGAAGTCTCCCATAAAATTTAACTCTGTGTTATCACCAAAAACATACCAAAGCGCTCGGAACAAGTTATGTTGGATCCTCTATCCACGGCTACCACCGCTGTGCCAGGGTATCTGGTTACATCATCCTCATCTTGATCCAGTGTTGTGTAAGAGAACTCAACAGTGTTACGGTTCTTAAGGAAGCCAAAATTCCTTTAAAAAAAACCTCTTCAATTTAAACACACTGGTAATTGCAGTAGCTGGTTTTTAATATTCAGTCCTAAGGGTCCAGTTCTCAAATCTGGTGATTTGTAAACAATTATTGCTACTTTTTTTATTGTAACATGGAGTAAATAAGTGAATGTTTTTTTGGAAGCAAAAATGATGCTTGAACCTAGCGGGTGCTGACTGCAATTTTGCTAATAGGTTGGTTGGTTTATTGCTACATCTGCTGGATAGTGGTGATATCCTTCCCAAATACCATGGAGGACACCAACCAAATGAAGAAGAAAATCTAGGTCGAGGCAAAAATAAAACCTGGAGTCTAAACCAAAATATCTCAGCAGTATGAAAAGGCCTGCGTTCAGAATTAAAATCACAGGATTACAAGCAAATCTAAAAGTATGTGCGTGGCTACTCACGCTCTCTCCTTGCATAGGCTCTATTTAAATCTAGTGGGTAAAGAGTCCTACAAAACTTGTAAGGATGTGATTAAGCACATCTCACTGAAATCAAGGCAGCTTCTTCTACTGAAGACTGAACATACATATAAGCTTAATCGCACTGGCATGGAAGTATGAACTAAGGGTTGCTCAGTAACACCCTCCTCCACCACTGAGGTCTGAGCAGGCTGAGGCTGAGCTCCATGGCAGCACCACAACAGCAGGAATGAAGCTGATTCCAAAATGACAGTTTTACTGGACTGGTACTAAACTGTTCAGCATGATTCTAGAAAAAAGACAAGTACAGAAAGCAAAGTGTATCTTGGCAAATAAACATTTGTATCTGATGTGGGGAGATACAACATGCAGCATCCTGCACAGGCAGCCGAGGGCAGACGCAACAGGGAACGTACAGCAAGCGAGGTGGGAAGGTGAGCTGGGAACTGCTCCTGGGATCTGAGAATCACGATTCCGACAGCAACACGCGATTCCTACCTGGCAGCAGGCAGGGAGCCCAGCACTCCCACTGAGAGCAGCTGCACAGAGCCTGCCTCGCAACTCTGTAACGCGGCCAGGAAGGGATTAGCCTTTACTCTTGCTGTAATGCTTACAGTTACTACATCTAAAATTTAGTGCTAAATATGCAATTATTATAATGCAGATGCAGTTTGCAATCTACCTTTCCACAGATTTAGAAGCATTTAAGGAGGCGATAATCCCTTCTGTCAGTATCTTAACTAACACTTAACTGTGACTAGCTGTAATGTAGTATTTTATCTTGTTCTCTAATCTGGTTCTAAAACATTTTTTTTTACCATTTGGAAAACAATGAAGTAACAGCTAAACTTTTAAAGTCAATATTAATATCTATATACAGAAATTTAGTTCAAATAACTGCTGTATTTTTGAGAAGGGGTACTGTCCAGAGTGATGTCATTTTACTCTTGCTCCATACATACAGTTCCTGCTCAAGTAAATGAATGCACCATCTCTCTCTCAAAAAAAAAAAAGTAAATGTGAAAATACAGTCTTCAAATACAGACATAATGTTTTACAGCTGACAACTTCTGAGTAATTACAAAAATCACAGTGTTTATTTACAGACTACAATTCAAATACCTTCTTTGTATTATTCTGCCAGGTGCACTTCAGCTGCCTTGCCTTTTTCTGTTTTATTTTTTTTTGGTTCAATATACTTCTAAGCCTATTTAAAAAGAAAGGAAAATTAAATCCTCACTACATCATGGTTTCAGATCTAATCCATTTGAGATGAGAAAAGAATGCGTTCCTCCAAAGTATGTTTGACAAATAATAATAAAAATTCTAAAATGCATGTAGACAGAGCACCCACATCCTCCCAGATTTCATTTGCATGATGTTCAGTTTTAATACATAAACTGCCAGCAACTTAAGAGGGGTTTATATATACACAGCTTAATCATTATTGTAATCATTCATAAGATTACAACAGCCATTAAAATGTTCTTTTGCAGTGTTATTGGTACTGGCTAAGCTGCCAGTTCGTCTTGGACCAACAGCATCAAAAGGTGTATAAAACCATCCGAGAAGTTTTGAAAAGTGTGGCTCTGACAGCTAATGACAATTGCGGAAATTTAATAATTGAAACTGAGACTGGAGAATGCAGTGAGGCTGCTTAGCACTTCTTGAATAAACTGCAATGCAAGAATGTTATTTGAAAAAAAAAAAAAAAATTCATTCACCCTTTCAAGTGCTTGTTCGCTTTTCCTGAGGGGATAGAAATCACACCAGAACCAGATCTACCAGGGACTAAGTAGGCTGTAGCAACAATTAGCAACTTCTGCTGCAGTTATATGACAACACAGCTCCTCAGTTTTTCCCCCAGACAATTCTCATCTGCCAGGTTAAGAATTATGAGAACTCAGAAGAGGGGTAGAATCCCTTAGGGATTATATAAATGTTCATTATGTGCCTAGAGCACAGATGCGAAGGCACTGTCTGCATGAGTAAGAACTAAAGTATGCCAAAACACACAACAATTTATTAGAGGTAGACTGACAGTTTTTTTGATCTAAAAACACATTGCTAGCCCTCACTATTCAAATGAATGGTCCTTCACTAGTTGGACTAGTCCTACTACAATTAGTCCTTCACACAAAAAAGATAAAACAAGGGGACTAGATAGCTAGATATCCAAGCTGGATAGGACGACATTTACTGCAGTATTCCCATTTCCTTCTTGAAAAATCCCAATATGCCTCCCCAACAGACAGCTGGGATGGGAGAGGTTACATCAGTTACCACAGACAAAGAAGACTTTTTTAGCAATGCTAAGTTTACACAGAGTTCTTTTTTTTCCTTTCCTTAGAAGAGAGTAGTTCTTCCAGCAAGGGTAGTATGAAATGGCAGAGAAGGGAAACATGCTGAAATAGCTGTCACTCCCCTGTCCCCATGGGAAGGGGAACCTTGCAAGACTGGCTATCCAAATTAAAGTCTCTGGACCTGTAGACAAGGGTCCCAATTACTGTGCAGTATTATTAAGTTCAGTTTCACATCACCAGATCTTAGTGGAATTTTCAAAGTAAAAACCACACATCACAGCACTACAAGGAAACAAAATACGAACAGTGTGCTTTAGTAACTGTTATCTACATATTTTATGAAGGAAAATCTTTGCTTAAGAACTAAGTTCAGTTTATATTAATATTTTATATAATTTTAAGTAAGTGGATAAATTAGAAACACCTATTGGTAAAAATAAGTATCAATGAAGGTGAAACGCTCACCCAAGGTTCAGTGTTATGGTGCTCATGCAACACATTAAGTTTTACAGTATAAATGCTAGGAAAAAAAATAAAATCACTTGCTTTGACAATTGCAGAGCAAAATAATTTTCTAAGGAGCATAACTATCCTTCAGATGAAAATTAATTTTATCCTATCTAATTATACACTGTTACCAATTTAAATCCTACCCTAGAACACCAAGTTTACCATGCTGTCTTGTGTGTGTGTGATGGACGTGTGTCATTTATCAGGCTTTTTCATTATTTTTGGGGTAGTGTTAACTGCTCTACATACATATTTCTCCTTCTGCTATAACAATGACTGTGTGTGGCACAGTTTTGTGCACCATTACACCATACCCTGAGCATTAAAGTGGAGTACTTGCAGTTAAGAAAGAAGTGATCCTACAAATTTCTTCTACATTTCTGAGACATGCAAGAGAATTTTTCTGTCAGCTCCAAACAAGCTGCTACAGGAAGAAAAGTTGCTGTAGTCAACACTGCAGCTCTATATTTTAAATGGATCTGATGATCCCAAAATCTTAGGCCACGAAAGGCATGTGCCTACTATGTGGACTTAAGGACCTGAATAGCAGCTCTGAAGGGACCACAATACAATCAAGTATTTGCAACAGAACAGATTCCATTATTCCTGAGGTCACTGTGCTTTGTCCTCACTCTATACACAGTGTCTTTTTATATACACTGAATTCGGTGAAAAAGAGCACAGATTACTCGCAGACAGTTAACAAGCAGGGTCTGCATTTCTGTTCCCAGGGTACTGCCTGGCAAACCTGTATTCTTGAAGTATCAAAATTAAAACTGAGCGTATTCCTGAGAAGTGCCAAATATCCACCCAGATCAACTAGACAGGACTGATAACAGTTTGGTATCTTGCAAGATAAAAGTCTGTTATCAAGACTGCTAAATGTCAGCTTTTAAACTCTTTAGTATTTACGTTTAACAATTTCAAGGGGGGAAAAAAAAGAAAGAAAAAAATCAACAGCACACATACCAAGGTTTAGACTTAAAATCTCCATATTGTCCTTCATAAGTGAGGTGAGGAGGAAGTAATACCTATTTTCTTTTAAAAATAACAAATGTAAAAATCAAGTATAATGAAAGCACATCAAGAAACAAACTGTACAATTTCTGAACTGCACTGTTTATTTTGCTGCTTGAAACCTAAGTGACAGTATGCCACTATAATTATGGGGTTTCTTCTAAACCTTTACTACACTGCAGGTACAGAAATATACGGACACATTTTTGGAGAATTGACATTTTGCAAAATGCAGCAAACATTTCAATTTATACATGAGAAAAGGAAGTGTTCAAAAGGGTATGCATTTCAAGTTATTGCAGGTTATTTTGTGAGAGAATTTCTGCAGTTAAAACATGTTTAAATTTAACCAACAGTAACGTGTCAGTGTATTTAAAATCATGACAAAAATCTTCTCTCTGGTCATTAATTGCCCTTTGACAAATTACTAGGATGTTGTATGTTTAGGGCAAGATGTCAATACAGCATAAATCCCATGGTATTTTGGTTTTCTTCTGGAGATTAAAGCTGTTTTTTTTCTTGGGATAAATGCAGCAGCAAAACACAAACCAGCTGATCAAAAAAGCACTTCTGCCATAACTCCAATAATTTCAGGGCACACCAACCGACAGTAGTTTTGCCATTCCCAGTTCTTTTTAAGGTTTACATCACTGCACTGTTGCCTTAAGTACGTCTGTAAAAGCTTGTTTTCTGTTAGGCCAGCTTGCTGACTACAGCCTGGTTGAGAGAATTTAGTTGGTTGGTCCATTTATCTAACGCGGTATACCGTGCACCACCTCTCTTCTGATGATCCAGTTCTAGGAGCTGATTGACTTGATCAATTCGGCCATGTATAGTGCTAGAATTAAATAAATAAATAACTGTAAATCAGTAATGCACATGGAAATACGAGCTATCAGTAAGTCAGAGGTAACATAAGAGGTCTTATACAAGAGAGATACAAAGTCCATTTCAGAATTCAGCAATTATACTAATACATTGTCCTGGGTAGTACTGCTTATTCAGTTGTCATCATGATTGGAAATCTAATGAACTAATTCATTGGGCAATGCATATATTATCTCCTTTGCTATGACTTACATATGAAGTCTGAAGCAATGTAATGTAAACAGTTCTTGAAAGGCAAGGAATCAATGAAATATGGAGATTTACGTAAAAAGAAATTAAAATATAAACCCATGTATAGATTATATTTTCCTAGTAGGTATAACAAATTATCCTCCAAAAAAATTTTACAAATTATAGTTAAGTTTTTCTAGTCAAGGAGAGCAGACTATTAATTTGTCAACTTGACAAATATACATGGGCATAAGCAGCAATTACTAATAATAATAATTTTCACAATTTAATAATAATCCAAGTAATTTATTACATAATCCAAAATTAAAGTAAAAACATGCCACTTAATCGCTCCCTGCAATTTTCTTAGCTCAGGTCTTACAGAGATACTATACTGCTCATAAGCCACGCAAATCCAAGTGGTCTGCATCATTACCTTTCAATTCTAGAATGAATCAGTATTGTCACAATACACAAAAATATTGCTTTGTTGCTTCTTGTATACTTTGATTATTTAAAGTAGTCAAAGATCAGTAATCAAGAATAAACTACATACTTATCCAATATGCACTGCACAAGCAAGCTTTCCACATCAGCTACATCTATGTTTAACTCCTAGAAGAAAGAGAAAACTCATTTTCATACATAGAATTTGGTTTCATTTCTGTTTCTTACTGTTAAAAAGTATCAATTCAATAATAATCTATACATCAAAAGAAATCCACCCAAAGTATATATAGCCAATGATCAAGAGATCAGTAAATTCTCAGAAAAAGGCTGAAGAGGCAAAAGCAAAATTTTTGGAAGCTCCAGAAGAGGAGTTCCTTTGCTGACTGACTGAAACAAAAAACCCAAACAATAACAAAAACAACTCACAAAAAAACCCCAGAAAAGAATGGGTCTGTACTCAAAACCATTTAGAAGGCTAATTACAAGTTTTACAAATGCTAAGGCTAGCTAAAAATAAAAAAGTGTATGGAGTTCTGAAGAGAATTTAAACATAAAAACAGGCATCTCTAATACTTAGTTATGTATTTTGGAATGCTGTGAATTTTTGCAAGAAAAAGAACAGACTCACAGGAAATAGAAACAATCATCTAGTGTCATTGGGTTTTGATTTTGTTCTTTCCAGAGAATAAAATCAGAGATTCTAGTTTTACAGTCAGTTTGTTCTATTACCACAGTTCTTTAACTCTTACAACACAGACATTTGAAGATCTCTCTTGAACAAAAGGAATGAAAATTTGGATTTTTATCTTCATAAGTAGATTCTGAATTACATAAATTTCACTTTTTCTATTTCTCTTCAGAAAAGTGCTTTTTTACACCAAAGAGAATATGGTAATTGAGTATTTTAGAAGTATATCGCAGTACACATTATAAAAAACGTTTGGACGACACTTGAAATTTACATTTTCACACTGTAAAGCTGCCAGCAGTGCATCACTACTGCTTTATAGTTTAGATTATATTTTAGATGTTTTATTTCTGGAAGCTCTACATTTATTTAAGAGCTTTTACTCACAATTAATTATTTACATAAGCAAAGGCAAGGTTCCATTGACACATACCTTAGAAATAAAAGGAATATGTATTCTTGTGTAAGGCTTAATTAATTTTATAAGCACTTGTGTTCTGATGTTTCGCAAAAGCTCTGTAAGTGAAGAAAAAATAAATACTGTAAAACTAACAGTACTGAAATAAAGATGCAATACAGCTCCATATAGAAAGATATCATAAATACCATGAACTCAGTGAGCTAAGGGAGGCATAGCAAACTAAAGGAACCCTCCTTTTCCAGGGATCCAAGCAATATGTAACTCTGAAGATGGACAGGTAGAGTTGAAAATTGGTAAAACATGGAGCAAAATGTATTCCCTGGTAAAAATTTAAATTATTCAAACTAACTGGATAAATCACACAGATTATTACAGTTTGCCCCTCTAATTTATAGCTAGGATGCCTGTCTTGTAACAAAAGTGAAAAGAGGTATTCTTAAGTCTCTGATACTTCAGTCTGCATGCATTTAACTTCATGGGGATAATTCACATTTTAAGTTAAAGATCAGGGCCTAATAATATAATTATAATGAGGAAGAAGTATAAAACATAATCTGCATCAAGTGGCTGATTTTTCTTAGATAAGATAGTGCAGCCATTGTTTCAGAAATTTTTTAATTACTAAAGAAAATTTGAATAAAATGAAAGCATAAATTACAATTTTAAATTAACAGAGAAAGAGCTAGATCTATTTTTACCTAACTAGTTACTCAAGGACTGTTTATATAAGGAAAAAGAATAATGAAGTCCAGATTATGTATCTCAATAAAACTAAGAAGATTAAAACAATGAGGCAAGGTATGTAAACATTATAATAACAAACACACACTCTGTGTCACTACAGAGTGAAAAATATAGGAATGTCTTTTTGCCCCTGGATATTAGTAGCAGACTATTATCATATAAGGGGTGAAGCTCAAATTCTCTTTAGTCCTTTGATTCAGCTGTCCTCCTTCTCTTGCTTTCTGATTCTGTCTTACTTTCTTCCTTAAGCATCCATCTCTCTAATCTTAAGAGTCTCCGTGCAAGACTTTGAAGCTCACCAGTAGTCGACATGGAACAGCAGTAGAGGGGTTATATTTAGTTTCCCCTGCTGTTTGCCATGTTCTCTTGTACAAACAAGAAGCATAAGAAAACCAGGTCTCTGGCTTTAACTCTTTTCTTTCATGTAACTACCCAGCTAAATGATCTTGCAATGCCACAGTAACCCTACTCTTGATAAAAACAGTAGTTATCTGAAAAACTGGACACTATTCAAGTGAAAAGACTTATAAATTCTCAAATACATGACAAATGCAGGGGGTAGCTTTATTTTGTCATGTTAATGGAATGTATGGGCATGTGTTAGTGTGTTCCCCTGTTTTATTAAGTATAGGTACTATAAATCCAAACATTGTTTTCAACACATACATTAGAATAATGTATTTTGTTACATATTTTGTTATTACATATTTATTAATGCAACCTTCATTACATTGTCTGCATATTTTCTCTTTAATCTGAAGCAGAAAATTAACCTTATAAACTAGCAAACATCTAACTGTTGAGACTGACACAACCAATCTTTACAAGTAAGGGTTGCCCTCATTTAATCCTTCCAATGGAAAAAATATTCAATGCCTGACAAGGCCGTAGATATTGTCTTGGAATATCCACTCTTGCTCAAACTTTCTTCATCATTCCTGCAATCCTTCACAGTCATTCTACATGCCTGGATATATGTTGGCCTTTACCAACTTCTAAAGAACCTGGAGATGTAAAGGAATCGTCTACAAGTAATTACAAAAGAACTCTCGTTCTGCCAAGAAAAGTAAACCATGGGGGGGAAAAAAAGCTTAGCGAGGAACGAGAAAAAAAGGGATTAAGACAGCCTGCAAAAATACCTTCAATGTGTTCCCTTATGAAGGGATCGTCCATGATGTTGCTGTGATTTGTTTTCAGAATCTTCTCAAATTCAGTGATGTCATTATTCTGATAGGCACTTCAGAAAAAACCAAGACAGTGAATTATTATTTTTAAAACAACAGACTTGTAAGACTGTTCTACAACTTCCAAAAAACCCCAGTGTATTAAGTGTTGGTGACAAATAATTACATTCAGAACCTTTATAAGGAAAAACTATTTCAAGATGAGATGCAGAAGCAATGACCTTTCTCCTATTAGAATTTTAGTAGCATTTACTAAAGTTCAGTATGAATTTTATTTCACAAGTGCACTCCTTTCAGAAGTTTTGTACTTTAAGAAGTTATTCTTTTAGAAAGCCTAGATCCTAAAAATAGCCAATTCTGAAAAGAATCATTACTTCAATTTTGGCTTCATGAAGCCATACTTTGTGGAAGAAATAAGAGCTAAAAAGAGTGTAGAGAGCTGTTGCTGTTTCTAGAATGTCCATCTTAAGCTGAATTCTAAAAATATCAGAAGATGGAAGAAATCCTGACTTCCAGGATTAACCATAAGTAATTCTGGCATAGTATTACCTTTTAGATTTTTATTTATAGCTTATTTTTAGTATATATATTGTTTAACTAGTCAATCTTGTTATTCGAGAAAGCATTCTAGAAGGTGGGTTTAGACACCTTTTGTTCAGTATTAGTTACTTCATCAGTTAAAGGTAAGAGCTGTAACCATTGAAACAAGATTTTTTTCTTGAAATATAATGGTTTTACAATTCAAATATATCATCTTTTATAACAGGAACAGGCAGCTGTAATAGGGACTATGTACTAACCAATCAAACTTACACAGTAATTTAGTTATATTAAGCTACAGGCTATCAATATTTAGCCTGAAAAACATAGTGTTTAATACATGCTTTCAATTTCTGTTCAATATTAACCATCAAACATTTTAAAAACATTGTCTATTTTTCCTTCATAGTCTCTGTACATTTTCAAATTGTTTTTAAAACATTAAAAAAAAAAGGTCATCCTTTATTATCAGTAAAATGGGCAAGAAAAAGACCAGTTGAATTTAAAGTGGAACTTGAGGAGTTTATAAATCGAGTTATATGTGTGGAATGGACACTTTTAACCTTATGTAAAGTTCTCTTTACCATATGTAAAACATTCAAGTTCCCAATGTAGAGTAGGAGAAGAATTAAAAATATAATTGTAATCTTTGGAATTTATTTTATTTTCTGCATATTTCTTATCTACACTGCTTTAATTGCATTATTAATTTTAAAGAAGCAGTTATACTCAAATGTCAAGATAAAAGATATAAATTAGGAAAATGAATAAAATCAGATTGGGTAAGGCCATCTGGAGTTCCTTCTGCCTCAAATTCACATGAAACTGTGACAGTGAAGTAGAAAAGATATGCCTAAAGTGCAATTATTGGAAATAATCCTTTAATAAACTCCCAAATAATTTATTCATCATTATGTCAATAATGATTGAACATCCTCACTTTCAGAAATAATTTGTATGCATACAATGGTGCAGCACCATAGCACTATCAGAGTAGGCTTTGTTCCAACATGAGATCAACTGTGCATTTCAAAATGTGAGCAGGCATCACTTCTTACACAATGAAAAGGTAGGACAAGTTTTCCTACACATTTTTAATTTTTTTTACTTGGTAAAGCAAAGGCAGGATGGAACAGGTCAGCTTCACAGCATAGTATATAAAAACTGCCTTGGTTCAATTTATTTTGCCTGATTATATTAATACCCTAAAAGTTCTCACATCACAGTTGCCTCTAAGAGATAACGAAGCATTCTTTTGATTCTCACATGAAGGACAGGGGAGATCACTTTAGAGTTCAGTTTTGTATTCCTAAATTATGAAACTCCATTAGTAATCATGACATACCCATGCATCCAATTATTCTATTCGCTTTAGTATTTGGTGTCAATCTTCTCTGTTTCTCATATATGATCAGGCAAACCCTAAAGTCTGGTCACAGTCCAAGGTGAGACAACTTTATTTAAGGGAAGAAATGAGGTTTTTGCCACTGCATAAGAAATTCACCATAGTAGAAGATAACAGCTTATTACCGTGCCCCTGGTATAGTATATATACTTCAGTATGTCATGGTAAATGGAAGTTTCTTAAGAAAAACAAACAGTCTACGAATATTTGCCCAATATTTATGAATTAACTGCGTTAACTGTGCAGAGAAAAGTCACCTCTAAATCCATTCCATTTCTGCTTTGGACACTACACCTTTTTATTTTTTGTTCTCTGCTCCAGAAAAATGAAGAACTTACCTTACTAAATTCGTCATTGCTAGAATCTCTGGATCATTTTTGTATGGTTTAGCCTACACAGAACAGAAAACACAATATGCATGTTTAGATTTTAAATATTTTTTTCCATTTGCACCTTTTGGGTAATTTATCTATCAATTCAGAAGAGGGGTGGAAAAAGGAAAAAGAAAAAAATATACCTCCTGAGAGTCAAACGGATTTATTCCAGATTTCATAAGCATGTTTGCTAAGACCAAGTATTTTAAGCAAGTGGTTCTTCTGGGGCTCCCTGATTCATCATAATTCTTGAATGCTTCAAAAAAATCAGTATGTGCCTTTTCAAACTCTCCTTCTCTTAAGTGCATTTTGCCTCCACATTCTGAAAAGAAAACACAGATGAAGAGAAAAGGAACACTGTGTGCTTGTTGCTGACTACAATAATTGTACTCAGAAGTTCCACGCTATTTCTAAACAGATTATTGAAATATTTTCAGTAGTCTTTTCATTCTCTGAAATTGCTAGGGAAAAAACTGCCATTTGAATAAACCCATTCCAAAGAAGAAAAAACAAAACCCAACCCACACCATAAATCTAAAAGAACACTAATCCTCTCAGCCAATAATTTTTTAACCTTATGTTAAAATACTGTAAAAACTATAATGGAATTTAGCTCCATTTCAAAAGCAATGAACTTCCTATATTTATGGAATTTTCCCAATCTGTTGAGCAAAATCACACAGAAAAATTGAGAAATACTTGGTATCTCCTTTTATTTCTGAAGTACCCACTGGTGCCTGATTGTCATGCAAGTGCTTACACCAGGCACAATAGTAATTCTGGAGAAAGTTTTTTCAAGACTTAGGGTTTACTTCCAGTAAAATTCATCATTGAGGATAACAAATAGCATTTTCAAACACATCTTAAAGCCCTTCAGCTTCTGATGAATTTTAGTGAGGTGAGACATCAAGCACAAATTTACAAGAGGGGATTGCAGAAATACCAGTCCCTTCCACTAGCAGTCCTGCCAAGCCTTTGCTTTTATCCTGTGCAAATGCCTTTGCATTTATCCTTTGCTGCCTGCTATGGTGTCAAACAGCTCAAGTCTCCCTCTTGTTCTTCTGTTGCTTCTCTCCTACAGTATATATAGCCAACTGAACTGCCCTTCTGACCAGTGCAGCTGATACTTGGGCACCAGAACAGCAGAGCTCAGGTCCTACAGGAGGCAAACAGTAAATGATGAGACTGCAGCCACTGCATTTGTAGTTCTTGACTCATATATGGTTTGTCTGCCTCTGAATCTACAGGATCCTTTAGAATTGGAACTGGAAAAAAACATTAATTATCAGATTTTCATAAAACTAATCTATGCAACAGAAGTTAAATGAAAAATTCAAGATTAACTTGCCTCTGATAACTCCCATGATCAGTGGATGAGGAATGGCTGACTTGATGTGCAATGACTGTTCATATAGTGCTTTAAGTTTTTTGTTATTTTTCTGTGCTGTATACATTTGAATTTCCAAAGCATAGATTTCCAATAGTTGAGTACCCTTTTTTAGATCATCTTCTCCATCATCAGTCTAGGATAGATTAAGTAATAAATACTGTGAAATTTTAAGAGAACAGTGATTTCAGTTTTATACTAGTAAAAAATTACTACTAAATACTCTCAGTAATTTCCTGTCAAAAGTCAGGATATTCCTAAAACTTTAAAATTTTGATATAACTATTAACACAAAACATAATACTCAAAGAACTTATCACAGGCCAAGTTTTGAAGCCCTTTATTAAAAAAAGTCAGTTTTTTTGTTTAATTAAATGTTTTCCTTATAACAACTTTCAGAATTTTGCCTATATTCTTTCCCACTTTCCTTAAACCCCACTCAGTACATAAATGCAATGACGGACACACATACATATATACAGATAATACAAATTACTCTTTTGCTGCCTATAGCAGAACCATTTCCCAGATATTTGTAACCCATTTTCCATGCTGGAGGAAGAAAAGGGGACATAAAAAAAACACAGCAGGCGGCGTGGCTAATTTGTTTTTTCCCTTTCCAAATGGGAAAGTAGCAGCTGTACTTTCAGTTTTGAATAAAGCTCACTTGGAATCTTAGCTTAATTTTAAAATAAATGTCTATGCATTATAGATTATTCATATGTGTTTCTCATCCTTTGTCATCATTTGGGCCGGACTGGCCACTGAAACTACTAAAAGGAAACTTAATCAGCAGTTGTTTTTATAAATCATCTTTAAGCAAGGAATAAAACACTCTTTAAAACCTCATTTTTTGTTCTCATTATCAAATGGATAACAAATTGAAGTAGGCACAGTATATCTTCCCTCTGTACTAAAGCTCAGCAACGTGCCTCAAAGGCCAACAGCAGACATAAGAAAAAAAATAATCAATGTTGTCTATTAAGCCACAGTGATTTAGAATGCAAAGGTACCTGGCATGACTGATGCAGCTGACGCAAAATCTTTTGTAACTTTCCATATTCTTCTCGTTCTAAATATAATTTGCCAAGCTGTAATAAAAAAAAAGTTGAAGTACTAAGGTCTATTAAGATTTCACAATATGAAAAGGTGAAGTTGTCACAACAAAAGCAAAAACCAGTAAGTTATATATTTTACCTTTGTGTTTGTCTTAAACCACAATCTATCATTCTTAGCATCTTTCAGAGCTTCAAGTGTTGTTTCATAGAATTCCTGAAGCAAATCCATCTGACATAAAAAATCAGAATTCTATAATTGTAAACAGCAAATTTGTACCTGTTAATAAAGTAAATCTGAACAAACTAAAAGTGCATGCTTGAACTTCAAAATAAGAAAGATATCTGCATCTTATCGACCATCTGCTTTTAAATTGTAAAGAGCTTCTAAAGTAGCAAAAGTAAGTACACTTGCTTTTCTTATACGAAATAGATAAAATGAAAAAATATTCACATTTTCATGCTAGCGTAAATGAAAGCTGCCTTATACAAGCCCATCTTATATAACCAAGTAATAAAATTCTTATGTTGTATAACAAAAGACAAACACTAACAAGCAACATTGCTCCTACTTAAAAGAAGAAAAACAAAAATAATTTACATATCAAAAAGAAAATACGATTTATAAAGAGAGAGAAATGGTCAAAGGAAAAGACTTTCTATAGTATCAATGCTGTGTGGAAGAAAGCTCTTGAGCACATCAAACTGTTTCTTTGCATAAGACCACAAAATACAACATCCAATAAGGAAATCAAAGTGCTGAGTGAGACCTTTAAAAAGGTTCTACAGAGAATGCATTAGTGTGTTTATGGTCATTGTTCTTTTGTGGATAACAGATCTGGGGTTATGCATCAAGTTAAGAGTTACAATGACCCTCCAGGTCTGGCCCCAGCTGCATTTAGACCAAACACTCCCATCTCTGCCAACAAGATATAGTCTAAAGACAGTAAGAGTAGACCTAAAAGAGTAAACTCTTCAGACCTTGAGAGTAAACCACCATTCAACTATTAAACTTTCATTTCCTATGAGTGGCAGGACACATAGGATTGTGACAATGACAGAAGAGTCATCATTAAAGACCAGTGATCCTCCATACGCAGGTGCTACTTTGTAACCAATTAGGGGAGCTTTTTACTCTCTGTAAAGCTTCTACAACACCACAAATAAAAAGGATCTGGGCTGTGTATCTATAAAGATTTACCCAGCTTGCACAGTACACTCAAAGATGGGCAAGTATTTAACATCAACACTTAACTGCAACATTTTTCAAAGGTTCCCCTCCCCTCACAAAGTACAAAAGAAAGTATTGTTTAATTACAAATTATATTTGAGAAAGCACTTATAATGCATAGCTACTATGCTAAAAAAAAATAAATATTTACCTTACCTATTAGCCTAGAAATCTCAGGTAAATATTGACAAAAAAGACAGATTTATGAAAAGTTATGTGTGTTGATAGAATCCATTAAATATGGGAAATATATTTTAACAATAAGACAGCAAATTAATACTGCAAATGTTCTCTATTAAAATCAAAAAACCCCAAATCAGCAGACTACCATACACAAAAAAGTCCACAGTTAAAAAAAACAAAAAGGAAAACTATGAAGATGAAAGAACTAATGATCTAACCTGCTTGGAAGTAGAGATATAATCAAGAATAGAATTGATGGATTTTTCAGAGTAATTCCTTGTAACTGCACTCCGTATGTAGGTCAACAGCTGTTTATATCTGTTCATCATTTCAGGAAAGTTAGTCTAAAAGAAAAACAAAGTTATGTTATACCTTGTGTTTTAATGATTAAAAAGCAAGTTACGTCTTTCAAATACACATACAGAAAAGAAAGCGTAAGGAAAGACTATGCAGTAGTGGTTGCTATTAAGAACGTTTACATCACCACTTGAATCACAAGCAGCAGAATCAGGAATAACTTCAGCAAAAGTGCATGGAATAGACATTTAAAATACTTATCTCAACAAAGAAAACAGAGTTGGCTATACAACTATTTAGAATGGTTGCATATGTAGCATATAAATTTTTCACTGATTTGTTCTGGTGAACTACATGTATATAGAAACATTACTCTTTTCAGTGGTATGATACCTCAGGATAGCAAGGACTGAGCCTCAAACTCTCAGAGAACATCAGCTGATTAAAGCAGCTATTTTGCATCCATTTTGCCTTTGACTTGCAACCACCATAAAATTTCCCTGCCATGTCTGTATCAGCCATTAAAGGACACAAAAGACAAGTTCTGGCAGATTTAGTTGTCATAGCCATAAGTTAGAATGATAACTGAAGAACTCTGGATCAAATACATTTTATGCCATTTACTCTCAAGTAATAGCTGTAATTCCTACCAATTTAAAGTTTATTTTAATCATCTGTTTCAGAGCTTTGAATCCCCACTCTCCTTTTTCACCTTCGAGCTCCAAAACCTGAAATAAAAGAATTTTTAAACAATATTTATAAAAGCTTTATTCAAACTTAAATGGATTTGCATCCTGTCTAAAATGTACATAGCCCACTTTCTACCTTTTCTACCCACTTTGTTCCTTATAAAGTTACATGCCTTTTCTACCCACTTTGTTCCTTATAAAGTAATGTTTCATTCTGCCCTGTTCTTCAATTTTACTGTTTCCTGATATTATTGAGAAAGTCAGCGAGGGGTATGTATCTTACTAGTTTTCAGAACTTTGCTGATGTAGGAAGGGTGAATTTTTATTTACAGATTTTTGTTGTTGTCTAACACCAAACACTAAACTTTAATACCACTCCATAAATACATATACACAAAAAAGTTCTAACACCCCCTGCAAAACAGACTCAACATCTCTTGATTAAATTAGTAAAAAATTTACACTACTGAATTATTATAGTATCTTCTCATATCAGAAAGGCTTCTAGGCTTCAATGTGATATGGTTAAGGGAATGTTTTGTAAGTAAAAATTTTTGAAAGTTTTTTTGAAGTCATGCATATAATACTGTTATACACTATAAATAAGCCAAGAGATGCAAACATCTATTTTTTCTTTTAAAAGTTACATCTAACATATTGCTTTCTAGTGGCAGTGTACAAACATTAAAAATTTAAAAGTGACATGAACAAAGAAACTCTGTGTCACTTAGTATTTACACATTTAAAGCTTTGGGACTGGATAGCAAACCAAATATAATACATTACATAAGACACTGGGGAAAACACCATTTCATTTTAAAAAAACTAATGGATCTGGCTTCTACAGTTGACACATGAAAACACACTTAGGACTCTTTAATTAACTTAGTAAACTGTGAAGATTAAAAACTCAGTTCTGCGATAAAATAGGCCTATTCCATGTCCTATTATGCACCCTAAGAACGGTCCTGAAAGGCAGTCAGCCAGGAGTCTAAATTCCCAATGATAAACTTAGCACACTAGTAAGTTAAAATATAAACATTACTCTTAAAATTCCCGAAATTAATTCAAATGATAAGCGGATATTTTAAAATGTGAATTTATATAAAAATAAGAGATAAAATGTGAAGACAGAAAACCTTCTGAAAACTGCTCAATGCTGCTTTGGGATCATCTTCCTTCAAAGCTTTAGAATTGTAGTATTGATTTTCCAAATCCACATTTGGTTCAGAATTGCTGTCCTCAGAATATTCCTACATTTTATGGAGAAAAGGAAAAACAAAAATCAGAAAAGAAAAAAAAAGGTTCAAAACATCTAATATTCTGCTGGAAATAGATAAAATATAGTAAGACATATTGCTCAAACTGACATGAATACTTGCGTACTGACAGAACAGCCTTCAGTTTTAGAGCATGTAACAGGTATGGACTCATGATTTCATCTCTCTCCCATTACTAGCCAGCCTCACCATCCACCAACACTTGCCTGTCAACAGATTTCTTTCTGGACTAATGAGCTCATAGCTCTATTAATTTTGCCTTTATGACAAGTACAGACTGTATTATTAACATTCTACCAATTTTGGTGTTTAAGGACAGATGCCTAATAACATATGTCATTTCTGTATGGGGGAGAGAACATGCTGGCCACTAGACTTCTAAAAGGCACTCTATTATATATGACCTTTGCTATCCATAGAAAAGATTCTGGCTGAGTTGCCACACAAGTAATGATTCAGCAATGGAGGATATAAAATGCTTCCATGAATCTCTCCCTAATCTGCCTTTTTATGCCGTAACGATTCGTACTTGTCTAAGGAAATTAAAAGAATAATGACGGTAACACCAGCTGCTTCTGTGCTGAGAAGCAGGAGATGACTGAGAAAGTGCTAAAAATACTGCCAAAGAGGGTGGGGTAGGGCTTAGGCACAATAATTTAATCAAATAATTACCTATCATGTACACTAGCACAAAACAAATTCAAGAATTTACTAATTATTACTTCATTAAAAAAAAAAAAGTACTCTGAGGCTTCTTCTGATGAAAAAACCTAAGTATTTAATCTCCTTTTGCTGAAGGATAATGTTGCATGTCTGAATTACAAAACACTACCAAAACTCAAAGAATAATTTCATTTGAGGTTTACATGAGCCAAAAATATTTCACACTTCTGCATTTCCAAGCCAACTTCCCTCAACAGTCCTTAGCTATTAGGAGAGAGAATCTGTTTAAATTTCAAAGTTACTGTCATCAGAGTAACCTTCCCTTGTAACAATATAAATAATGCATACTCAGGTGCCCTTCTTTAAGTTGCCTTTTCTTCTTTTACTGTACATCTTCTTCAGGCACCTTTGCTCATTCATATATTGCTAATATTAATGGATTCCTTCAAAACCATGAGAAGGAATGAAAAAGAGATGGGGCAAAAGAGCAGTTTAAATTAGCTCTCTCCTCCCTACAGCAAAAGCAAATCTCTCAAAGCTTTCTGAAGTTCAAATGGAAAAATTAATTATGGAAGCTCACAGTTGGCCCAAATTTTATTAAACACAGTCCTTGAGACATTTGTCCTTCAACCTGCTAATGTTTCTGTTTGCTATATGTAGGCAAGTTGCTCACATATGTATTTATTTATATTCACACCAACTGTTAGTATTTAGTGTGAATCAATGGACTTAAAAGCCTAGCAAATACCACAAACCTGTTTTCTGAATTCCCAGAAAACTATACAACTTTATACTGCAAAATTGCAAAGAAGGGAGAATGAAGCAAGTGTCTTATTTCACTGGGCAGACTATCATTTCAGTTAGCCTGATTTTGTAAATTCTTTAGCCTGTTGATCCAACATCAACAGAGCAGCTACAAGAACACGCACGTGATGTCGACAGTCGTCAGCCCATCAGGCACCTCATGAAGGTATCGGCTGCCAAAGCTCAAACAACATAGCGTTTAAGATACATGTAATCAGCTGATGTCTTGTTTATACTAAACTTCAACAATGAGGAATATTTTTGGCAGAAGTATCTATTTGTAAAGATAAAAAGAAAACAAACTAAATTAATTCATTTTAGGAAACAATGTGCTCTGTTAGCCTAAAGCCAGAAACATCTGAATTTCCATCTTAGCTCTGGCAGGGATTCCGGATGTGGACTCGTGCAAGAAGCCTTTTTTCAGACCATGTTTCTGAATGCGACTTAAATATCCCATAAAGCTATTTTCATAATAATATTAGTATATAATAAAGAATAAGTGTTAAGTCTAGAATTATTTTTTCCTAATGGAATCACTTTGAAATGCATCCAAGGTAGTGCTTTATGTTCTCACAGCTATATTTTTTAGCTTTAAATTAGATATTAGGAAGAAATTCTTTCCTCTGAGGGTGGTAAGGCACTGGCACAGGTTGCCTAGCGAGGTTGTGGATGCCCCATCCCTGGAGGTGTTCAAGGCCAGGATGGATGGGGCTTTGAGCAACCTGGTCTAGTGGGAGGTGTCCCAGCCCCATGGAACAAGATGGCCTTTCAGGTCCCTTCCAACTCAAACCATTCTGTGATTCTATGATTTTTCCTTCACTTGATGCCTATTCACCTCACATCAAATTTAGGATGCTGGTATGGACAAAGCTCTGAGACAGGGCTTTCTCACTTCCAGATAACATAATGTAAGGTGTTTACTTTAAAAGACATATTTAGACTTAATGGCTGTGAAGAAAGCTTTAAAACCATGAACCAAGTATGGGATGATGCCATGAATCTGTAGGCAATTAAAAAAAAAAAAAAAAAAAAGATCAGCCATGTAGATACTGCATCTTAATTTAAGCATCAATGCTAATTATGCCAGTGCTGATCAATTCAAAAGGACCAGCACTCTATCTTCTTTTGATGCAGAGATGGCTTCGTGCAGTATGGAATGAATGCAGGAACATTCAGCTTTTGCCAAAAGCTAAGAAGGAAGAAAGGAAAAGTGTGAAGCTGTCTCCTCAAAGTTCGAACTAAGAAAAAGATGCATTTCCTTTCCGGAACTGAAAACAGAAGAGTTCTTTTAACAATAAATTCAGACACCAAATGCCTAACCTTTCTTCACCCTCATTTTTAACACATCTCCTGCATGCCTGAACAAATTCCCCAACCCAACCCTTTTAGATAGAAAGTTTGTTGCATCAAACAATGCAGCACCAAAATAAAAGTGCACAAAACTTAGTCAGAATATCCCGTTTACAAAAAGGATTTCTACATAACTCTAAAAATCTCTACTATGCCATCTAGACCTAACATTCTGCATAGTGAAGAACAGCCTTAATTATAACCTCAAGATATAAAAGCACCTGTGTGCTACACTTTAGCTCCAGCTGACGCTAAGTACAGGCATAAGATTTTTTTTAAGATGTTGGTGATTTTTTTTAGAAAAACATCAATACCATCAGTACAAATAAAAACAACAGAAGTCTGGGTATGCGGAACTGATCTTTAAAACCCACTTATTTCTCCCTTCCTGAGAGAATCAAAACAATTAAGTGGGGGAGTGGGTTTATTATTACTCATGAAATTAGAAAGCCCTGATACAGCTTTAAAAAAAGTAATTTAAAAAGTTAAGACATTAAGCATTGCTCCCTTGAAAATCTGCATGTTCTAAATGTAGTCAGTTATAAATAATACAATCCCATCACATCATTTTTTTGGGGAAAGAAAAATTACCACACTAGCTCAACTGTTATGAAGAGAAAACCTCTGATGTAGCTTACTCGGCCTGGAACATAGTTCTTTCAAGTAACTTTAATAAAAGTTAAATTAGTACCAAGGAACCGATTTAATTTACAAGTCTTTATTACATTACTTATCAAGTTTTCACAAAATTCATTTCATCTAGTAAACAGCTTTAAAACGTTAAGTCTCAGCTTCTAAAATGAACACATGCAGAAGACAATTCACCCCAGTCAGCTTTAATCATCCTTTCTAGGGCACAGATCCATTTGCAGCTTCTCCAGCAGCAAAGGCAGGCTGCAAACATCCAGCACTCCCGACCCTCCCTGTTCATTTCTGGTCCTACCATCCCCTTCACTGAAGCGAGTCAACATTTTATGCTGTACAAGTCCTTGATGATGGCTGATTCTGCTTGGACTGAGAGAACAGGCCCACCAACGCTTACACAGAGGCAGTCCTGAGGCTGGTGAGCTCCGGCAGAGGAGCAGGTGAGCAGGGAGGGGAAGAAAATCAGCTGCAGTTTCAGAAAACTGTAGGAGGAGTCTTGGTCAATGTGGTCTTGAGAGCTCTTGAGGCACAGCACCTCTCCTCACAGACAGAATAAGGTACATGAACTTGGAGACCGTAACACTATATCAGCGAGCGACATTTAATGGTAGGTCTGTGGTATCCTAGCAGATTAGACTGGCACAGTAACCTGGTGAAGTTAAACATGTACAAAACCAAAGACCAAATATTTTGTGAGAAGTGCCCTTGTTCAGTTACCGATTTTCCTGTATCCTCTCTTGCCTAAAGCACTTCCCTAATCTCTACGTCAGAAGAGGAGCGATGATCTAAGATTTTGCTTCTCTGTATGTCATTCACTAGCTGTACAGGAACCAAACTCCTACTTTGCAAACCTTTTTCAAAAAAAAAGGGAAAGTAGCTATACAGAGGATAACTTTCCAGACAAAAGACACAATACAAAGAGTTCTATTTCTGTAGAAATTTATCCTCCAAGGATATTGTTAATACTTATTACTGTGAATTTTCAATTGCTGGTAATTTTACCAAGTTTCAACCATTGGGCTGACTCAAACCATTCTTTTTTTTTAATGAAGTGCAATTGTTTCTGAGAATAAGTCTGGTACAAATATGATTTTACTTTAGCTAACTTTGTTTCATAACCATGGCATTTAGGAGATCTGCTAACTCTAGGATTTGGAGTGAAGACCTGAGATTTTGCAAGAGCACTAGTGATGTGGGTTGGGGGGGGACGGGGAGGGGAGGGCCAGCACAGCTTGTTTTTTTGTTCAGTTGCGAAAATAAGGCCAACTAAAAACAAACAAAAAATGAAAATAACTCTTCAATATATTAATATATTAGCTTCCCAACTGGATTTCTTGAACATTTCATCTACAATGAACATGCACTATTTTCGCTTTGCTTTTATGCACCGGCTGCAAAAGTGACCAACCGAACACCATCCCAGCGCCAAGTACAACTTTCTTTGCATTTGCTCTTCCAATCACAGAATTGTTTAGGTTGGAAAACACCTTTAAGGTCATCAAGTCCAACCA